CAGCCCCGTCAAGCCCCGTCAAGCTCCGTCCAGCCCCGTCAAGCCCCGTCAAGCCCCGTCAAGCCCCGTCAAGACCAGCCCAGACCAGTCCAGACCAGTCCAGCCCAGTCGTGGACTCAGTCAGAGAGAGAACGATCCGTTGGCCCGTCAGCACACGTCGTACGTGAAAGAAGGCCCTGTGCGACCCAGGGGCGTCCAGGAGCCGGGCGCGGGGAAGCTGAGGGTGCGAGATCCACACGATCGCCCACACGGGGTCCCAGGTGAAGTGGGAGACACACCTCCACGCGAATACGCGGCACCGCAGCAAGACGATGCTGCACCAGGCGCAGGGGAGGGCCCGTTAGCATCGAGCTCAGTCCGAGCACGGAGGAGAACAGGGAAGAGAAAATTCGCCGTTCTGAAAGTCGGCGGCAAGCGATTTTAAATAAAGATGGAATAAAGTATTGTTAAAGTTGATGTCCAACTTCCATTTACCAAGTACATCAGAATCTCACAAAAGCAAGTAGGTGGTATTTATTCATGTCCTTTTATAATCAGGTTATATCAAGTTTCAAAAAAAAAAAAAATTGGTCGACCAAAAATGACATGTCTCTACCATTTTAGTAAACCGTATAAGATGTAACAGATTTGTGACAATTTTTCATTTACATTGTGATAACAATTTATGTGAAAGACAAATTATAAAAACTAAGACCTTTGATCGAAAAATTGAGGGGAACAATTTTTGACTACTTGGAAGTTTGGAAGATCATTTATCTGTGGTTGAAAGTATGATATCGTACTATAGTAAATATTAAGCTAAACAATTCATAAAAAATAAATTTATTTGTTTAAAAAATTAGGGATATATAATAGTAAAATTAATAGTAAAATCCCTCTTACCCTCCATGCTTGATTATGGAACGTTCGTAAAGCATGTGTTATTCTTCAATATATTATTAGGAAGTATGATCTCATAGCGGGATATTACAAAGCAAATCATATATTATACTTGAAAGGTCGCCACATGTTTCATAATTTGTGCCTTTTCTACAAATATTACATACGAGTGTACCTACTTACCTCTCTTAAAATTTCTTATCTCAAAACACGAAGAAAGAAATTCTTGCTACCCAATATTCCCAAGAGCAACACGAAGTTTTACAATGAATGTTACCTAGAAGCAACCAGAGAGTGAAATAGCCTCCCAGTAAATGTAAAATAGTGCGTTCATTCAAAAAGTATATTTAAATACTCTTTTTGTGAGCTAATGTTTTGGACAATGAGTACTAATTTGTTCAAAATTGTAAAGTAAATGTAATATTTTATATACCATAATTATCACTTTGTTTCATTTCTAGTATTTTTAAGTTAGTTCAAAATTGTAAGGTAAATGTAATATTTTATACAGCATTTTTTAAGTTTTTTTTTCTTTTCTTGGATTTCTTAAATTAATTCTTAAATTTATCATCAATAGTATAATTAATTTAAATTAAGTATATTATAGGATTAGAAAGGTTTTTGTGTTATCTACTAGTAACTTCTAAACCATTACTGTTTAACTTGCCATGGCTCTGACTGAAGGCGTCTTTTCCCTTAGTACTTGTGGTTATTAATTAAAATCGACCCTAAGCCGTCGTCCTGGCCGGGTGGTTGTGTGCATTTTAATGTTGGTGTTTCTATGTTTCTTTAATGTATATGACTTTTTGTTAACATTTGATGCGCGTGTCTAAATTAGTATCTTTCATAATTTATTTTCGGGCAAGCCTTTAGATTTTTCTTGAGACAGTAATGTTTGTTTAAAACATATTTTATTTTTGTTGCTATTTTATTTTTATTTTTGTTGCTTGGTTCCCCCCGCCGCTTGAGGTAAGTTCTGGGTCGTTTTTTTCATTTGCTTTTGTGAGACCGGGGGCAAGAAATCTGTATGTTGTATTTTATTGTATTTACTAAAGGTATACCGTTTCAATTTGTATCTATGATTTTACGTATTACGTGATTAGGTAGAAGAGCGGGCCTGATGGCCCGAGTCTCGCCACATAAAAAAATAATATAATAATATTAATAATACTTTTCAAATCTCCATCTTCAATATTGTAGTTAAAGAAGACTCCGAAAAAACTGAACTTTTGCATTTTTCGAAATAGTGATTTTATCGAAATTGAGACCCATGCAATTTTTAAGAGTTGTTTATGCTATTCAAGGGCAAAGTTAAATCAAACAAATTGGAGCCATTTGGAAAACAATTTGAAAATTTAATTGAATTATAAAGCATCCCCTAAAGCCAAATTATCCATTTCAAACTCGCAGGGCCTTGAGTTCCTTTATATCGATCGGAACATAATTTTGGAGAAAATAGTCTGGACTGTTTAGGCGCTAGGATAGACCACGGTCGGACAGAGACGGACGGACAGACGTTATGCTTTCAATCGATCTTGTGGCTTCAAGGACACACAGATGAATTCTGACTACACAACGTGTTAGAGGAATGATTTACTTAATATTGAAACAAGATTTATCAACTTTTTCATTTCCAGGACCAGGCAATAAGAGTTTTTCTATCGCAAATTCGCCGTTTACCAGCGCACGTTGACAATGCTTTCTCTTCTTGCGAAGTAACGCGTGATGGCAAAAATAAAACCTTAATTTTACATGAAAATAAAATAAAAACGATACAATAAATTTCATGTGCTTGTGTCGCACGTGTACAGTACTATCTCTTACAATTTCATTTGTGTGAAACGTGTTGAAGCAATACTTCTTGTTGCAAACTTAGTGTTCAGACGAAATCAAACCCAAAAGCACGTACACGGGAGGTGTATAATATGCCTTACAAAATAAGGCGAGAAAGCAAAGAGAAAACCTTCACCTTAAAGAAAAAAACGATACAATAAATGTTACGTTTGTGTTGTAATTAAATGGCGCGGCAACGGTGTAAAACATGTGCTGAGTGCTTGTTGGGGGCTGCGCGCAGACGCCGCCAAGGGGGTGACGCGGCCGTGGCTGGACGCGCCGCTGCTGCTCCGCGCTGGCGCCACCCTGCCGCTCAACTGCTCCATCCTGCTGGCCCAGACCGCGGAAGCCCATTTCACCTTCATTCTGCACGGCATCACGAAGGTGAGATAACCTGCGCCTTCCATCACTTTTATTTAAGCGCGTCAGTCTTCTCCTAACCTTTGAGGGGATCAGGGTTTTTTCTCTGAAGAACAAAAAGCGCATGGAACTGTAAGATTTTTGCGGGGTGAGTGAGTGTATGTTCCGGGCGAGACGACTCATAACTTGGTGTATATTATATTCCGGAATGTAGCGATGTTCCTTCCCAGCTGGATCACGAATTTGATTTAGATCTACGGGGGGATTTTTCTCTTCCAGGAAACTTCGCCAGCTGGGCCCTACCCCAGCCGGCAGAAGACTTAGCTCCCGTCGTGTGTGGTAGTGTATTGTGTGAAAATGTGTGGATGCGTGTAGGAAGGCGAAGATGGTAGGATAAGGAACAGAAAGGAAAAATCACGCGCGATCCTTATCCCTTTTCTTAACATGTTGCCCCGACATCCTTCTGGTATTGAATGGAGAAAAAAAACCACAAACAAACAAAAAACAACTCGCAATCAGGTCAGTCACCCGCTAGAAATCGCATACAGACAGAGGTTGATTTCGACCAAGCTGTATAGCTAGTGTT